GGACCAGCAGCAGTGCCACTTGACAGCGAAGGAAGTGTGGCAAAATACCATGAGGCCAGAGAAGCCAGCAGTCTATCTGGTGCAGACCTGTTGCTTTTACAATGAGCTGCATGCTGCACTTGGCAGAGACGTCACAAGCACCACGCAGACCTCCGTGGATACCTCCGCGGGGCCCGAGACAGAGACCCCTGCCATTAACCGCAAGGAGGAGGAGGAGAGGGACAGGACAGGCGAGAACAGGGTCAGAGGTGTAGGTAGGTGTGGGGTGAAGAGACTGTGAGGCCTGGAGCAAAGAGCCATTCAACAGAGGGCAAAGAAAACACAATCAGAACTGTAGAAAGTTCTCAGAACCTGCTTGCCTGGTTCTGCTCCCACCCGCTGGGCTCCAGCTGGCTTCTTTCTGCAGTTTTCCTCTCAGGCCACATGGCAGAGGTTAGGGGAAGCACCTCCTAGTGGCCCCAGATTGAGGGGGGTCTCCTCTGCACAGTTTGGGATCTAGGAGAGTGTTCAGAGGATGGGGTGTTCTTAGCTGGGCCCCATTTTATCCTTTCCCCGCTAGTGCAGCAGTCCTTGTGGTTCTATTCAGTGTGGGGGATGGGGGACTTCAATCTGAGTGACGTATGCTGGAAGTCTCATGCGGCCAGTACTAAAACGTCCTCACAATTTCTAAACATTATTGATGAAAATTTCCTAACTCAGAAAAGTGTTGCATCCAACATGGGGGAATTCTATACTAGACCTCGTCTTGACAGATCATGAGGAATTACTCACAGACCTAAAAATGCCCAGGGGTTGCTTGATCACATTTGTTGTGTGCAAACAGAAATAAAGTCCATACCAGTAATATATCTACTTGGTGCTTTAAAAGAGCCAATTTCACAAAGCTGAAAACAATTATGAGGCAAATCAAGTGGGAGAGGATTTGAACAGAAAAATGTAATGACCATTGGGAAATATTTAAGAATATTTTACTAGATACCCAAAATACTCCATCCCACAGTCGAGAGAGGTAACTACGACGTTAAAAAAAATCAACCAAACTCGAAAAACAATATATAAGACATAGGAAAAAAGAAGTTGATGGCAATGAATATAAAGAAATAAATATATATTAAAAGTTTGGAATGATAGAAAATTGACAAGGGAAACAGAAGGACACAGGGAGAAATCTAGGGTGTGAAGAGTAAAGGACAATGAGGAGTCTTTTAAGTATATTAGGACAAAAAGAATCCTAACAATGGCATTGATCTGTTATTAGATGGCACTGGTAGACCTGTCAGTAATAATGCAGAAAAAGCAGAAGTGTTCAATACATTTTCTGTTCTGTATTTAGGAAAAGCCTGATAATGTATTCATATCAGATGACAGAGAGGATATACTTTCCATTCCAACAGTAACTCAGGAGGACATTACGCAGCAGCTATTAGAAGTTTAGACAATTAGACGTTTTTAAAAATCAGCAGGTCTGGCTAACTTGTATCTGAGAGTTTTAAAAGAGAGAGCCAAGGAAGGCACTGGATCGTTCATGCTGATTTTCAATAAATCTTGAAACACTGGGGAAGCTCCAGGGGACTAGAAGAAAGCTAATGTTGTGCAAATATTTAAAAATATTTAAACAGGAAGACCCAGGAAATTATAGGCCTATCAACTTGATTTCAATCCTGGGCAAATTAATGGAACAGCTGCTATGGTATCTGATTAATAAAAATTAAAGGAGGGTAATATAATTAATGCCAATCAACATGGGTTTATGGAAAATGCATCCTGTCAAACTAACTTGATATATTTTTGATGAGATTACAAGTTTGGTTGATAAAGGTAATAGTGGAGATTAATATACTTATATTTATAAGGCAGTTGACTTAGTATTACATGACATTTTGCTTAGAAAACTAGAAAGGTATAAAATTAATATGGCACACATTAAATGAATTATTATCTGGCTAACTGATAGGTCTCAACATGTAGACGGAAAGTCGTCAGCGAATGGGTGTGTTTCTAGTGGGGTCCTGCGGAGATCAGTTCTTGATCCTACGATATTTGAACATTTTTATCAGTGACCTGGAAGAAAATATGAAATCATCACTGATAAAGCTTGCAGATGACTCAAAGATTGAGGGAGGGGTAAATAATGAAGAGGACAGGTCACCGATACAGAACGGTCTGGATCACTTGATAAGCTGGGTGCAAGCAAACAATATGTGTTTCAATTTGGCCAAATGTAAAGTAATACAGTAGGGAACAAAGAATGTCAGTCTTACTTATAGGGTAGGCGACTCCATTCTGGGAAGCAGTGACTCTGAAAAAGACTTAGGGGTCATAGTGGATAATCACCTGAACATGAGCTCCCAGTGCATTTGCTGTGGCCAAAAGGGTTGGAGGGAGTGCTAGTGGCTCTGCTGAATACAGGATGTGGTAAATAGTCTTATCTGGTCACAGGTAGTGGGAGAAGAAGAAGATGTAGATGTGTCAAGTATCTCTGACTAGGAGGGTTTCCTCTTCCGGCTGTGTTTTCAAATAATCTTCGCAAATTAGTAGCACTAGCCCCTGCTCTGTAACATCCTTCTCTGGACCATGCATAACTTTAGTGTTGCCAGGAAACAAATGTAACAAATAATCCATATGTGTGAGTTTTACAGGCTCCTTCATGTACCCAACATGTGTTCACACATCATGCATTCATGCACACCCTTCCTTCAGCACCCTGGTTGTTTCACAGTCTATCCTACATGTGCATACACACACTCACACACACATCTATCCATGTCAGGCTGCTGAATGCAGCATAAAATAACATGAGACGAGGTCATTCTCAGCAGGCAAAGAGGAGTGTGGGTTTGTCCGTACTCAGTGTTACTTATAGCTGGGCAGGTGAGTGAAACATATCTCTATGCTGCCCACCTAGGCTGGGGAAAACTGTTCTAGTTGAAATTGCTGCTTGTTCTGCAGACCGCTGGACATGGGAATTTCTGCAGATTTGGATGCTTGCTGTGCTTATTTATAAGCTAATTCCTCCTTGCCCTCAGCTTTCTCACTGCCAGAGTAGAGTCCACACTCTAGGAGCACACAGATAGTATGGGTAGATGACGTGGGCCTTGACCTCTTGTATGTGTTCATTGCAAGCCAGAACTGTGTCTTTGAATGAGGCTTATTCTCAGCATAAGTAGCCTCATTCAAAGCTATGGCTCCCCACTCTACAACTTAAGGGCCTGATCCTAAATCTATTGATGTCAATGGAATGGATATGCCTGGCGTTCACTAGGGACCTGCTCCATTGGCTTTGGTGGGCTTTGGACCACACCCCTACCGAACTTCAGTCACATCCCAATGCAGCAAGATTAATGATCATCATGTCTACCGTAATTTCACTCAGCAGAGTTCTCCTCTGAATTACACTTGGGTCAATGAGGAGTGATGCCACTGATTTCAGTGAGGTTACACCCAGGATAAATTTGGTCCAGTGTCTGTTTTTACTGAGCACACTGTGCAGAAGTATCTTTGCTTTTTCATTGTATTTTCCCCTGAGTTGTCATACCACTTAAGATCCTGGGTTGATTTCACTTCCACATCATGGGTTCTGGCACCAAGTTTTGTCAGCTTCGAGACAACAGACATTTAAGGAAGTGAACATTGTACATGTTGCCTTCCAAAGATTATGTTTCATTCCATTCTTTCGATTATAGCATCGTTTATTATTTACATTAGGAGGATAAAGTTATTCCCCTGATGAGTGAGCCATATAATATAGACCATTACAACGCAAGCAGTTAAAGGTCAGGCATGGGAGTGGGATCAGAAGGGCACTGGAAAGGAGCTCAAAGGTGGACCCTGAAATAGCAGTATCACTTGGGCTGGATTTCTGTTTTTTACAGGGCACTTTTGGAACCTAGATAAAAGTTTGGAATTTATGATTGTTTTCATCTTGCCATTTTGCCTTTCTTCCGTGATAGCATATGACTATCTGTATTTCTGAGTACCCAGTTACCATGAAATACAAATGTCTGGGTCACACAAATGCTTTCCCATAACAAACTCGGATACTTTCAGCTTAGTTTAGTTATTCTCTCTCTCTCTCTCTTTCCTAATTCCCTGCTGCCTTTTTCCACCACTTCTTTCCGCTATCCCCGAACAGCGCTGGCTCATTCTTCAGCAGTTTCGTGGTGGGGAGACCTTTCTGCACCTACATACCACGGTGATAGGTGCAGACTAAGAATCTGAAGAACTGAAAGAACTGTGCATTGCTCTCTGAATATGAGGAGGCTTGAACTTATTCTGATGTCTAGCACTAATGAATTCCACAGCTCAGGGCCTTCCATTGAAAAGGCTTTGCCTCTGCATTATGACAGGACCATCCTAGTCACAGCAGTGTCCCAAGGTGCACAGCTGTTTCAGAAGGTCAGCAGTGCAGGTCGGGGGATCTCCAAGATAGCTGAGCCCCCGCCCATTCAGAGGTTTAGTTGAAGATTAACACACCAGGAGCTGAAAGTCAAATGGGGAGCTGAAATCAAACAGAACATCCTGGTGACTTCCTCTTCACTGCCTCACTTCCTAAGAAGAGTAGAATTTGCTTATCTAGATTCACATGTGGTTGACTGACATGGGTAATTCTAAAAAAAAAAAAGTGTTCACAGTTTTAAAATAGAGTCATTGGGAAGTGACAACAGCTAGAGCAAGTGAAGGCAGGTAAATTTTTGGCTGGGCTGCTACAAGATTTCTGACCACTTCAAAAGAAATGTCGAGAGTGCTCAAAGGAGATTGAAGGAGCCACAGAGATGTTCTGGCCTTAACAAGGAGAAATCACAAGGGAGGATCATATGTCATGGATATCCAGGTGCAATTTGCTCTTGTGCGATGCTAAGGAGGGGTAACAGCCAGTTAACTGCATGATTCCATGGGGACATAAAGTTCTGCACAGTTCTGTAGTTATTGTGAGGAAAGTCACTAGGAGAGCTGAGCTTTGGTGCCATTGTAGAAGAAAAATCCTACTCAAGCTTGTTCTTGTTGGCATCTTCCTCCTTCCTTGAGCCTGCAGAGCAGAGGAGGCACCCTGCTACTCGCCATGACAAACAGCAGTTTGACTCTAAGCAGCCTGGATGCAGTTTACATCACCATCGAGTTCATTATTGGGATATCTGCAACCGTGGGCAACATCCTGGTCATCTGGGTGGTGAAGCTGAACCCAGCTTTTCAGACAAATACCTTCTACTTCATTGTCTCCCTGGCGCTGGCCGATATAGCTGTGGGCATCCTTGTCATGCCACTGGCCATCGTGGTGAGCCTGGGAGTCGACATCCACTTCTACTCCTGCCTCTTCATGTGCTGCCTGATGGTGGTTTTCACTAATGCCTCCATCCTGTCTCTCCTGGCTATAGCAATCGACAGGTACCTAAGAGTGAAGCTTCCCACCAGGTGAGTCAGTCTGTTTAGTTGTTGCATTTTCAAGTTATTGTTCATATTACATGGAAGTTCAATTAATGCTCTAATGCCCCTCCTGGTCTCCACACCCCAGCTCAGACCTGGAGGCACGCTCGTCCATCTCCCCCAGTGCTCATACCCCCTATCTCACACCTGCCTTGCACACCGAGGTTTTACTCTACCCTGCCTCAGGATTGGGGATAGACTAAATTACCTCTTGAGATCACTTCCAGCCCTACATTTCTATGGTTCTGTGTTGACAGATGCTCCCTGCTCCCCCATCTTTTGAAGTGGCTTCTAATCAGGCAAGTCACTGAAGCAGTAAATTCACTTTAAATGTATGTTCGAAAAAGAGAAAGATTCTCTCTTTGTAAAACCAATTTAAGAGCCATTCTTTGGGGGCAGGGACTATCTCGTAGCTCTGTGTTTGTCCTGCAGCTAGCACAGTGGAGTCCTGACCCATGTTTGGGGCCCCTAAATGCTACCACAATATAAAAAATAAGTATTAATTATTGAATTGCCTATAGGGATCAGAGAACTGCTGGGATCATGGTGAAACATGATTTCATTCTTCAATCATTTTGTTGGGTGTGTGACCTAATTTTTATATTATTTCTGTGTTTGTTTATTTTGGGGCTAGTCACTTCAAATACTCCCGTCAACGTCAGCACTGGGTCAAAATGAGAAAGGGACACAGAGTGAACAGCAAGTTCTAATACGAGGATTTTATAAAAACACACCTTTTTTCTATAACTTGAGTGGCCAAGTGCATGCATAAAACACCCCCGTCCGCCCCAAAACAACAACAACACGGCACAGGGTCAGACAGTACACGGTCCTGGTGTCGTAATTGGGTCTACATTTACCTTAATTGTGAGGTCAACTGTAAGAAGTGAGTGAAAGTTCATAAAATATCACCATGACCTGTAACAACATATGTTGATGGGAAAAGGTGCAAAAGGGAAACAGAAAAACTGCATAAGTCTAAACTAAAAAACCTACAGATATAATTAAGGACCTTGTTAAGATTATGCCTGGTAAACAAGAGAAGTGTGGGACCAGTAATCAATGAACCAAAATTGGTGGGTCAGAAATTAGGTCTAGGACGTTGGGGGGAAAGCTGGCTACTGTGACGCTGTCTGACTAAAAGATGAAAGAAGGGTTAGGAGTGAGCTTCACCATAATGGCTGCCTGTCCTGATGTCTCCTGGGTCCCCGGACTTTCTTCACACTAATCCTGACAGATGTTGTGACTAGATTGGGCCACGAGAGAGGGACCCAGATAGCATCGCGCCACCTCCATCAGCTCTTACTAAATCCCGAACACCGTCTAAGATATGAGACTTTGTCACACCTCAACACCCCCCAAGATGTCCTTTTCCTTCCACACCCTGATTTCTTCTCTTTCCCATGTTTCTTCTTTTGTCTTCTGTTTAAGAGTCTGGCTCAACCAGCCAAGACTGTCTATTTTACAACACTGGTGTAAGCCTGTGACCAGAAAGAGGCAGCTAAAAGCAATGCCCTCAAAAGACCAACTCGGAGTGGCTGATCAGACCGTGTGCTGTGCCTGTGTTTTTCCAGCAGTGAGAGTCAACACCAGAGACAGAAGTTGCATTTTCTGTCTTTGCCATTCTTTTCTTTCCCCCTTTGTGCGCGTTTGTTTTGTTTTGTCTTCTGGGAAGTGAGACTGAAGTTTAACAACAGCATCTATGACAACTCCAGCCCATCATAACTAACGCCTTCTCTTTTCCCAGAAAGACAGTTATTACCAAATTCTAAGATACTGTCAAATGGGAAGGGGGAAAGGGGTTCTTTCTCAAAACTCTCTCCAGCGAAAGGGAAAGGGTCGGGATGTTGGTAAAATGAAAGCCTGACTTAATGCTTTACATTTCAAAGGCTTTCACTGTTTTTTAGTTCTTTTCTGAATCTTTAATAAAAAGGTTTAAAAGACTTTCAATAGTGTGTTTGCCATGATGCTAAGCAGGCTGAGGTCTCTGCCTTGTTTAATGTTGGGCAGTGACTCTTTGGTTTCTTTTTTTCCCATCTAAATTAACACATCAGGCCATATTTCTTTGAGCAAAGGTTCTACATCAACAGTGTAGAGGCAGGGCCGGCTCCAGGCACCAGCCGACCAAGCATGTGCTTGGGGCGGCACCTTGGGGCAGGGTGGCGCTCAATTTTTTATTTTTGGATTCGGCGGCGCGGCACTCGGAGGGGAGCGGGGGCTTCGGGCGGCGTGCTGCTCGGGAGGGGGCGGGGGCTTTGGGCGACGTGGCGCGTCGGA